TCACTGTACAAATTACAAAAGTTCATATAATGCACACATACACACAGAGAGCACCCACATGTGTCCCCTTAAAGCGTATTTAAGTTACTGATCTGAAAGCATTTACTCACTTTGCAAATGCTAACAAAAAGGGATTGTCCAATACAAAAACTGCATCACACAGAGCTGGTATATATTTTCTTATATAACTTTATGACTGTGTATTCAACTAAAGTATTATGTTTGTGACAGCACGAAACTGATAATAACCCATGTTGTTATCTTGCTAAATATTGCACTCCATGTTCAAATTTAAGAAACTTTTTAAATGAAGTAGAAAAGGAAAGAGTTGCTTTCTTTATATGCAGTATGCATTTCATAGCTAAGATATTCTGCTTGCAATTGGTTCTCTTGGGGCATTCCAAACTTGTCCCTGTCATTGCCACGTAGAAGTACCCTTACTAACTCTAAATGACAGTCTGGACAATAGGCTAACTTTGGTAGGACACCATTCTTGCCCATAGGTAACTCAGGCAATCTTCAGAAATCATGGTGTCAGCCTCAAGTAGTAGAAATACTGTTTTGCTTATTAAATTAACATTATTTTGCTTATTAAACTTACATAATATAAACTTAAATTATAATTATTTTTTTTAAAAAAAAAAGACAAAAACCAAAACCAGAAAACACTTTTACAAAATAACCTGATTCTGTGGCATTATTTTTATATTCATTTTTAGAACATCTTATTTCTCTGAGGTGATAACTGCCCAGTGTGAAGGAACGGTCAAAGTGCCTGCCTTAAATAACCCTGAAAATTTAGCTCAATGGCTGACTAGATTAGATAACGTGTCTAGAAAAAGAGATGCTTTCTGGCTTAGTAGAACAAAAGCTTCAAGAGTAACTGAGGGAACTAGTGCAGGGCACCCATCTTCCACCGTAACGAAGCAGAGCGACAGGGTCTCGTGCTGCCAGCTCCCTTACCAGGAGCTCTCCACAGCCAGAGCAGATCAGCTGCTCAACAGGATTTCAGTGTGGGCAGAGCGAGCGAGTGATCACTCAAGGACACTGCAAACCCTTCCTGACCCTTCCTCAGAAAGATCTGGTTTACCTACAGAGAGATAGCAGTATATCTACTTCAAATTTTTTAGCCAAAATAGTACTCTGGCCCTGGGATTTGCTAAATTTTCTGATTTTCCAAACCTCTCGATTTCTTAATAGCTGAAAAAACTTCATTCAGTGTTAGGGCTTTTTACTATCACACACAGCATACAAAACCTTTCTGTGTCAGCAACACAGAGGTAAAGGAGAATTTGTTTCTTCCTTTTTCCCCCTCAAAAATATACTTAGGAAAATAAACACTTCCAAAATAATGGATTGAGTTTTTTGAAATTATTACTATGAATTTCTCTGCTTTGTTTCTTAGTTTACTACTTGGTTTTAGTAAATGTAGGTCACTGACAGTGGCATCTTAAGGTATTATATTTCAGTAAACGCACTGAAAAACAGAGAGTCCTGAGAGAAGCACCCCAGATTTCTATCGTGGTAAATATGTCAACCAGAAAAATTCAGCTGCAATGAATAAATAAAATACAGTACTAAGCCTTCAGGTCTAGAGACAACTGTCAGTGGATGATTTGAGGAAAAAGAAGTTAACTTGATCCAACCTCCTTAATAACCACATGTTTGCAATAATCCAAAATATATCTTTAGCTGAAACAATTTCTCTCTTCCAAAGCATTCTGTTTCTAAGAGCATTTCCATAACAATATGTGACATCTGAAACGCTTAAGGCCACCAACCATGGCAGTACAAATTACACTCATTTTTCAATACTCAATGCAAGGTGCACCACTTCCAGCACTGGGATTGGTTCATGCTGCGTTGGTTTCTGCGGTGAGACACGATCAGCATGCACCAGGGCCACAGAGAGTCTGTAGACTTTGGAGATTCATGCTAACAGGTAAAGAGGCTGATCTTACCCGCCGTAGGCTGGAATTGGAGGAGGGGGGGCTGCTGCACGAAACGTGTTGTACACCGTGCGACCTCGGCCTCTTAGGTGTGCACCTCTGTAAGCAGCAGCTGCAGTTGCAGCAGGGTAGGGAAATCCTGGCACTGCAAAGAGAAAAAGGGGCATGAATGTAAAATATTCAGATCAACCCAGTGTTTTAAAACAAGGGTAATGGAGCAGCACGTGTGTGCTTATATTAAAGCTCGCCTGTAACTGGATGAGAGAGTCACAAAATAAATTACTAGTCTTTGAACCAGAGGTCTCATCCTTGTACACAAAAATCACTGCATGCTAACGGGATACGGCAAACCGAGGGTTCAGAGGGCAGGAGGTAGGGCTCTGGTTCTCTTCGAAGACAGTGTTAAAAATCATGTTCACTGTTTTAGCCAACACTGCTACTGGGATTCTCTTGGGGTCCAAGTCACCCAGTACAGACTCAAATTTACAATGCCAGACATTTCCACCACACTTCCAGATGCATGATTTGATCTGTCTTCAAAAGTCAGCCCTGCTTTGAGTGGAGGTGAGATGTTGGACCAGGTGACCTCAAGTGATCTAAATTATCTTGTGATTTTACCAACTGAACAGAGCTTTACTTCTTTTCAGATGCTGATTATTAACTGGGTCTTAATTGTGTACCAAGTGAATGAAAGACAGAGCAGATCTTGGGGGGAGGAGGTTTACCTCATTCATAATAGTACCTGTTATTCCTTCAAAGGCAAGAGTTGCATAGTTTGGAAATATCTGAATGCAGATAGTATTCACACCCAATAGAAACAATTTAGATATCTAACAAAGAAATTAACCCAGACATTTTATATTGTCACTGCAACTAAGTATAAACATTAATTACCATTCCACATGAGATTTAAAATGTTTTAATCTCAAACTGAATAGTAATACTACTTTATTAGTAGTACTTGGTTTCTTTTTGTAGAATGTCTTAAAAACTTCTCTTTTCATAAACTTTTTCATTGAAAAATTTTAAAACAAAGCTTTCCATTTTACTTTCTCTGTTTTTTTAACCAGTGATTCACTATTTCAGTTCTCCTTTGTACAGATATTGCTGGCCAGTGATAGAATGGATATTCTTTCAACGAATTAATCAGTGAGACAGAGAAAATCAAATCCAGCTCTGTTGGCACTCAGGTTATTTCTGTTGTGCTTCACCTTTTTGAATTTTTTCATTACGTAAATTAAGAGAAAAAAGAAATAAATATTGCTCAGCAAAGCCCCAGTAAAAAGCAAGCCAATGGAAGTAATGATGCATAAACCAGTAAGTTTTTCAAGTCTGAAATATGAATTGGTTTCAATCCACACTTTTCTTTCATCTGTTTTAGCATTAAATTTTAAAAGAAGCCTTGAATTTGAAAAAGAAAATGAAAAATTCACAACTTGTAGATGTTGCTGGTTGAACATATGAAGGAAAGTATGTACTGTAATTATAGTGATTTTTCCATTACCACCTTACTACTGTGGCTTTTGGGCTTTGCTAAGTCCCTCTCACTGACAAAAAGGTTACACAGTACTTCTGCAAAGATTAACATGTCTGTGACACAACACAAAGCAACCTTATGGCAATACAAATAAATTAGTATTTTACAAACTGCAAATACCATATTTTTATTCCTCTTTCTATGAAAAGAATGTCTCAAAATCAGAATGATGAACTTACAAAATTCAATTTACTGTTGATACCTTTGCAATCAACAATATTTAAGAAGCCTTAAAGAAATACAGTCATGGAAAGCATTTGGGGGAGGGGGTGGGAATGAGCATGTGTATCATATACTCAAAATTCAGATGCTGTAAGTACTTTTGCATATCCAACAACACTGAACGTTAAACAGCATAAATACAGCAGTGACCTACTGCTGGAGCCACATAACGTTCATCCTTTTCCTTTCCAAATAAACAGTCTTGTATGCAAAGTAGTACAAGGTGCGTATGACAATGTAAAAGATAATTTCAGTGGACTGAAGATACAAGCAAACAAGATACAAGCAAACATTATAAATCAAACAGATCTCCAGGCTGTGCTGTAGTTCCTCTGACAGAGCCGACTGTCTCCCCATACTAACAGATAAATAAAAGGTGCAATGCTCTAGTAAAACTTCACACATGGAAGTTAGCAATACATGAGAAAAGCATGAGGGTTGAACACCAAGGGATCATCATTATCTTCTGTCCCTTAGAGAATGTATCTGTGAATGCCACATGCTGGAGACTTCCTGTCTTGGCTTAAATGACATGGTTTGCACAACATACAAGGTCAAGAGAAATTTCTCTGACCTAAAAGCCACTAACAAAAAAAATTTGTGAAGACTGACAAACTTTGAGCAGTTTGGACTCATATGTGCATCTGTGGTTCTCTACATAATGACAGAAAGCACACTTTCACGAGAGAAACAAGGAATGGTAAAGAAAACCAAACCAATTCAAAAAAGCCTAAGCTCAAGTGATGTAAGGCATCTTACAACGTTGTGGGATTGCAATACACGGTCTGGGAACTCCTGCTCTAAGATCTGTTTCAGCACCACACACCTTACACACGTGTTAGGAACCAAGCTATCTCTTAATTTTCAGAAGAAATGACTAAATATATGTCCAATAAAAAACAACTGGAGTTGTGCAGACGTATTTGAGACATTGAAGATACACTTCTGTGAAAGAATGAAAACTTGATGTAGTTTCTGAGCACTTTTTGTCTTTGAATCCACTCAATCCAGTTTTCACACAGACACATTAAAATATATATTCTGCAATAATTGAGCATTTATCCTAAATACTATTTACTCTTCGTGGTGGTCACCCCTTGGAAAGAATTACAAGTGAATGGTACAAAGAAATGTCGCTGGAAAAGCAGAGTGCTCCTATCAATGAATGAGTAAAAAAGAACATAAAATAGTTTTTTTTTTTTAAAAAAACTACATGATTATGAGAGTGGTTTTCTCTTATAAAAGAGGAGAAACAGGTAGAAAATGAAGATAGTAGGAGGAATCACTTAGCCCATACGTCTTTACCAAATCCAGAACCCATAATGGAGGAACAACACTCATGGGACATGCTTAGGACAAGACAATGATTTCTACCATTTTCAAAGAATCTGGCACAGAGAGCATGACTTAGAATGAAAAGCCTGAAGTAATGTAATTGTTTTGCTATACCTGCTTTGATTTTTACTAAGGAGATAAAGCATGAAGCATAGAGTAAAGCAAAACTCTAAAAAAGCTTGTAGAAACAATTAGTAGAAGGAAATGAAGCAGACAGAAGTAGATCGAAACTGAGCCTGAGAAATATGGAACCAAGAGTGGCACTGCAAGGTCTTTGAGTGAGGTCTAGCAATAGAGTTTATCTATAATAGAGTTATATCCATCCCCCTCTGGATTATTTGGGTCAGTCTGAAAATTAGAGTACTTGAAAAAATGCCTTCTATTTTCAGGTGGTAATATTAAAGATTTAGCTTAGCGTTTTAAATTAATCAACAAGATCAGGTCACCCTAGATTTGAAGTCAGAAAAAAAAAAAATCATGCTACTTCAGCCCAGCTGAGAAATCAAATATAGGAATATTAGGAATATGTTATAGCCACAGAACGTGCTTTGCTACCAAGTTTTTAATATCCTCACCCCAAAATACCCAGCAGAAGTGGCACCATTAGAACACAACTGAAGAATGGACATCATAAAAACAACTTTATGAAAAAGGCTCTCCCATCAGGAAGCATTATATGCTATTAACCAGCCCCAAAAGTAATGAACATACTAGCCAAGAGGGGTAAAGATTTTAATGACTTACAGTTTGTAGGTCAACCTTCCTTAGTGCCACAGTGCCAAACTCCTGAAACTCAAGTCAGTGGAAATGGTATTATAATGGGGTTGGAAATGTGCTGGACTCTCAGCAGGGAAGCATCTGAGTCTACTTCTAAGCAGAAGTACCTTAAATTTATTGAAGTAATTTGATTATTAGAATTCTTCTGATCTGACATAAAGGCAGATTTCTCCAACTAAACAATACTGATATGAGGTGAAATTAGGCAGTAAAAAAAGAGAAGGACTATATGTAGCCAACTATCAAGCCAAAGAAACAATTTACAATTCTCCTCTAATAGCCCCATCAGTTCTATAGTTGTTCATTCAGCTGTTCAGGTATGGCTGAGACTACAATGGCAACAACAAAAAACAGGATGGTGATGAGATTCCTTCTTTAAACTTATTTGTTCTATGTTTAAATTCAAGAGGAGATATATATATATATACATTTAAAATCTATTTTATAATAAATATTGTCCAAAAAGTTCTCTCTTCTGGATACGTTTGTAAAAATGAAACCCTGTCAGGGTGTTTCCTTCATCAAACTTCAGTTTAGAACTCAAACATGAAATCTGGTCAGCAAATTGCAACACATAATTCTAAAAGCCTTTTTAATTGCTTAACAGGATTCATGTTAGTGTATTGGTAAACTTTAGGTAGCTAATGATTTTATATAGAAAATAAATATTAGCATAAGGAAAAGAGAAGGAACTTCATCTTTTTGTTCACAGATGAAATTTAATCAAATCTTAGTTTCTTCCAAAAGATGTAATATAAGCATTAGTTATACCATTTTAAGTGAACACAACAAGTAGGTGCACTTTCTAGGCACCATATCTCAACATATGCCTTCGAAACACAAAGACTGAAGAAACAGTGACAATGCTTAATTTTCCAAAAGGAGGAATATAACCTGGTAAAAAATACTGTAAAGTTATACACTGTGTGTTAAAGTTTCAAAGCTTTGGGATAGATGGAAGAGTAGCAGATGCAAAGAACAACAGGGGGGCAGATTTTGTATCAAATCCATAAAAATATACAGCCATTTTAATGGGCAATTATTCTTTGGGTTTGTGCTGTGGTTTGAATTTGTATGAGAGTACCATATGCCTCAAGAAAGGTGTGCCATCAAGATGGATGAATGGAGCTACCTGTCAGCACTCCTCATCGCTCCTTCCTTGTGCAAACTAGCAGGTCATCTGCCACCAAGAGCTTCCAAATGTTTAATGGGGAGGAATTTTAATTTTACATCATGTTTGAATCAGTTAATAGCTAATTTACCACCACATAGTT